GTATGTTTTAAAAAATCAATTCATGCTCTAAAGTTTCATGCTGCGTCCGGGTATCAGTGTTGGCATGATACAATAATCTGTCAGCTTTCTAAATATAAACAGTGACTTTTTTTGATGTGCAACATTTAAGAAGGCATAATGCAATCTAATGAGTGACAATGTGTAACTAATGTGTGTACAGTTATAACGTATTAAACTGCAAACCCTTCAGGCAATATCCAAGTATAACACACACACACAATGTTTTACTCAGCAAGGATGCATATGATTATATTTATGAATCATGATGTTGGCGGGAACATATTAAGCAGCGCAACTGTTTATTATAAGCAATAAGCAATAACCAAAAGTCATTATTTCTGGGGTTTTTTAAATACAAATTCTAATGTCTGCTTCATAATAAACCTTTTTCCATTGTTATGTAGATTTTATATTTATAAACGTAAACATTTCTAATTGCAAACCTATTTTTTAGCGTTTATGCAAGAGATTGAAAAATTACTTGCTTTCAATTTTAAAGCACTCAGTTTGCATGACCTTAAATAAATATTATCTATTAAATTGCTGTTGCCTTTTTTTATTTTGCCCTCTTCACTTTCAATTTCTTTATATTATATCTATCCTCAGGTCAGATCACCTATTGATATTGCTTTGTTTTAATTTCTTTTGTTATTTTTGCTCCTATTTTTTAAATTATTGATACCATTGTAAATAATGTAATGATTATTATTGTAAATGGTGTGTACCAACTGTATCAGTATGCTACTAGTGCTGGGCGATTCATCGAAAAGTAATCAAAATCTACAATCAGAACCTATATTTGTTCAAATTTTTCCAGGTTGTTTTTGTCAATTACTTTCCCTATCACGTGAGGAGTCACGTGACCCCGCTTTGTTAAGCCTCGACTATGTTTCTGCGGTCACTTTGCAGCCGCATCTGATGCTGAGCTGATGATCTTGAGCTGTTCTTTTCCCTACATTGACGATGATTGGAAGCTGTGCCAGAGATGCCTTGAGATGGCATGTTTTCCATTACATTAAAATGCTTATTTACAATAAAATATTCGTTTACAGAAGATGCACTGTTTAAAATATTAGTTACAGAATATGCAAGAGTTATTTTATTTAGAAGAGATACTGCTTATTTTCTACTTTTAATATGAAAAAACATTGAAAATATGTGATCAAGATGTGTTTTTATGTTCGTTTTAGGCAATGTGTGTTTAATTTCAGTTGTTGTTCAACATTGATGTTCAATAAATTATCATAGATAGTGGACAGTTTGTGCTTCCATCAATTATTTTAAAATCAAGCAATGCACCCTTCATTCAGAAATCTCTCACCTATATTATGTGAGCATAGTTACCAAATCTGTCAGGGAACTATGAGGCCAAGAAATTTAATACATCAATAAAATAATTTTTCATTAATCATAAACAAGCTAAAATGTTCAATTAATCAAGATTTTGATTTTAAGTCAAATCGCCCATCCCCATATGTTATACTATAAATGTAAAAAAAATGTCATTTATTCATTCATTCATTCATTAACTCATTTATTCATTCATTCATTTTCCTTCAGCTTAGTTCCTTTATTCATCGGGGTCACCACAGCGTATACAGAATATACACAGAATAAATTCATACACTCTCACATTTACACTATGGCCATATTAGTTTATTCAATTCACCTGTACCGCATGTCTTTGAACTGTGGGGGAAACCGGAGCAGCCAGAGGAAACCCACACCAACAAAGAACATGCAAACTTAACAAAGAAATGCCAACTGACCCCACCAGGACTGGAACCAGCGACCTTCTAGCTGTGAGGTGACAGTGCTAACCACTGAGCCACTGGGTCGCCAAAAGCTTTGCTTAAGAAAAATTGCCTATTTATAATAAGCGGTTATAATAATAAAAAAAAACATGGAATTAAAAATATATATTAAAAAATTGTATTGTATTCTTAACCATGTTAATGCATCCTTCCAAAACACATTTAAAGGCATATCAGATCTCACATTTTAAATGGTGATATTGTTAGTTTCTCACATGCATGTATGACTAATGATGCACCGTAAAACCCAAAAAGTTAAGGTATCTCAAACTATTTGAGGTAACCGATTGCAACAAACCATTTAAGTTCAAAAACTAATCCTAATGAGTAGTGTGAACTTCATCCATTTGAGTAAATGAAGAAATTCAAGCACAGTAAAACCCAGTAAATGAAGAGAACTCAAACCAACCGAGTACTGTAAAACGCAATAAGTTTAAAATGTTTGAGGAAACCAATTTCTACAAACCATTTGAGTTTAAAAAAACTAATCTATATGAGTACTGTGATCATACTCCATTTAAGTCTAAGTAATGTGGTATTTCATTAACTCATTACCATCAACACTGAGTTAAAATGAGTAGATTTAACTTTCGGTAAATTTTGAGTTAACTACACTCATTTCATCTGATAAAGTTGACTGTTGGGTTTTACAGTGTGTAAGTACATCATGAATGTACATCTCAGCCTTTATTCAGTTATAAAACTTTACATTATAATCACGTCTTTCTCCAGCTAATGACCTGATGATACTTCTATACATCTTTTTTTTAACTAATATGATTCACTCTTCTGGTTATAGACCAAACTGTAAAGCATTTCTGGTTTATTTCATAATCCTTCTTCTTTTTAATTTCCTTTAAGAAGCAAACAAATCCTACATACTAACTGATGTGTGTGTAATTTGCTATGTACACTACAAACAGTAAACTTACCTACCTAGCCTGTAGAGTTTTTATTATCTTCTCACATTTTCCATGCAACGTCTTGTAAAATTATCATTTTAAGCAGTTCCTATTGCAAACTTACAAATACCACAAATTAGTGCTTAGCGAATGATCCGACAGTCTCTCAGCACATCGACTCCAATAAAGGATTCCCTTCCTAATCCCACATGTGAGACAAGCCCCCCCTCAAAGAACCTTGTAGCGCCTCAGGTCAAAATGACAGACAGGGCCAAAGCTGAGGGTCTCTGCTGCCTGAATACACACACACAGAAGCTCACAAACCACACACATTTATTTTCTCACGCATTTATGTACGTATACTGGCCACACTGAAGGAAATATATGTGAAGTATTTACTCTGTTCGCCACAAGTATTTGTTTTGTCAGAATGTTAATGACAGGTATTGCTGACAAGAACTGATGTGCTAACTGTAAATGATTACAAATAACCTGAATTATGTAATCAGATAGCAAAAAACATATTAGATAATAATACATTTATTCACTCATTTTCTTTTCGGCTTTGTCCCTTTGTCAATCAGGGGTCGCCACAGCAGAATGAACTGCCAACTTATCCAGAATATAACCACAGTGTAACGGTGACGCCATAATATTACATTTTAAAATAATATTAATCAGATTACAGTTACTTTAACTGGATCACATGATTACGAGTTACTTCTGTAATGGCAGTAAATTATTTATAATTAAACCATTTGCCATTTTTTTTCTAATATAAAATCTGTTGTTTGCAATATCATTTAGCTTGAATAATCACAATGAAGATTGGCTAATCCCATGTAATTGCCATTGAATTGACTTTCCACCCATGGTTCTTTGTTTGGAGATGAAAGCTCTCAATCAGTTATACTGCGTATGGGTTTATTACGCAAGCTGTTAAACACTGCCCATGACTAACTAACAAATATTTGCAAGTCATTGATGTTTTCATGTGTAATATTATTAAATATTTGTTCTTTTGATGCAGCAGGGATTTCCAAATTAAAATACTCAATAAAAGTTCAGTAATTTTAAGTATTTTAATAATTCAACTAAACATTTGCATGTTGACAATAAATTGGATTGTTCCGCTTTATTTTAAAATCACTTAAATGCTTATTCATTCATTCATTCATTTTCTTTTCGCCTTAGTCCCTTTATTAATCAAGGGTCACCACAGCGGAATGAACCACCAACTTATCCAGCATATATTTTACAGGGAAACACCCATACACTGTCATTCACACACGTCTCATACATACACTACGGAACAATTTAGCTTAACCAACTCACTTATAGCGCATGTCTTCGCACTTGTAGGAGAAACCGGATCACCCAGAGGAAACTCACAACATTATGGGGAGAACATGCCAACTCCACACAGAAATGCCAACTGACCCAGCCGAGGTTCGAAACAGCAACCTTCTTGTTATGAGGTGATCATGCTACCCACTGCGCCACCGTGTCGCCCCTACTTAGTTGTTTATTTTAATCAAATGTTTAATGCAATTCACAACATTGAGTAAGAACCGAACATGCTTTATTTCTTTGATTTCTTTAAACCTGTGTCATAAATAAGTTATAAAGAAGTAATCCAAAATATTCAGAGGTCAGAAGTATTCTAAAAGTAATCCAAAAGTTGTCCGAATACATTAACTATAATTACGTTACCATTTCATTGTGTAATTTGTATCATTATCAGATTACTTTTTGTAAACAATGTCTCTGGAACTGTCTTCTGTTGACATCACACCAAAAACTCATAAACATAGAAGTGTAATCCTGAAGTGCATATTTTTGACAACAATATCACTAACCTTTATTACTTTAAAAAAATTGCATTTCTCTCTCAAGCACACGCATTTGCTCTTTCTGTCTGTTTTGTCTCCTGACACAACAGCAACTAACTTAATTTGCAAGATATTTGCATATTGAATATCCTTCTTGATTTCTCATTGGCTGTCAGATCAACCGAAGGCCTACGCGCCGGTATAAAAACATCAACCGTCGCGCACCAGACTGTCAAGTGCTGAAACGATGATTGACGACGCTGTTTATTATATGATGGAAACACTTCTGCGTTTTCATCCCTCGGCTCGCGTACACACTCATGCTTATGTCTATCCTTCGGTGTGTTGTTGTTATTGTTGTTGTTGCAGCAGCATCCACGGCTCATTTCCAACGCAAAACATATACGCGTTTGGCCAAACGTTGCTCTTACCTGAGAAATTCCTGCAGGCAGGTATCACAGAATCGGTGTCCACATGTGGAAACTTGGACCGGTTCCCTCATTGCTTTGCTACACAGAGGACATTGAAAGCGTCTCTTGGGCTTCTCCAGGAACTTGTAGTCAAAGCCAGGCATTGCTGCTGCTTCAGTGAGGAGCGTCTATAGGAGCTGTCGTTTGTTTTCCACCGCAATAACAAGAGTCCGCGTATTGAAAACTGATCTTCACTTGCCAACGGCACACAACCCTCGGTATTGTTTCTTCTCTCGGCTTCCTCTTTTCGAGCAACACGGCTCGGTCAGGATGACAGCTTAAACCCGGCGACGAGGCTGTCAATGCAGGCTAGAGCTCGCTGATGAACCGAGAGGACGAGAAACATCCACAGCGCCTGTCGAGGATAACACTGACAGCCTGGAGACAAAGCTCGGATCCCATCTGTTTAGGTATATAAAGCCCCACCCACTGGCCATGAGGGGGGAGGAGCCACGCTTAAACCCTAAGCAGAAAAGGGCGAGCTTATTTACAGTTTGTACAGTATTAATGCTGTCTGTGAGCCGAATAATGTGGCCAAGTAAGGGATTAATTTAATGCAATTTATTTTCAGAAGTTGTTCTTCTCGCAACGGTCGGCTGTTATAAAAACACACATAGCTTTTTTTAGGTTTGCTTGTTTATTATGATTTATGAAATCATAAATATGGTAATAACCGTAATACTCATATATGAATGAATAATATATAATAATCCGATAGTTTATGTATTAGGCTACTGTAACCTTTATTTTCAATCAAATGTTTCAATTAAACTCTGTTTAATGTGTATATTCTTTTTAAAAGTAATTATTTATTATTATTACTATATTTATGACTATTATTTAGTACACTTATGGGTACCCTTACCAGGGGTGGATTTGGTGATCTTGGCACCTTAAACAAATCCAGCCAAGGGGCCCAAAAGTTCTAAAATGCACCTTTTGTCCTTTCATTTTTGTATTATTATTTTGCTGTTTTTTTTCTTCTATCATTCCATCTCATTTTCTACATTTTATCTTAATGCAAAATAATAATAATAATAATATCATGTAAAGCTCCTTGTAAAACTTTTAAAACTATTTGTTTTCTTAAGATGAATTCACAACTAAACATAATTCATTCATTCATTTTCTTAAAAACTAAACAAAATAAATGAGCTCTTTCGTTTTCAAAACTACATTTTTACTGATTTGACTGCTCCATGATTGAAGGTGGGGGACACATTTGTGCAGATGTAATAATTACTTTAAAATTAAAATTTTTAGATCCTTACCGTACAAAATATGATAGAAAATTGGGTTATAAATAATTTATACTATCATTTATACTTCTAGGTATTTATTTGGGGCCCTCAGATTTCCTGGGGCCCTAAACAGCCGCATACTTTGCCTACTAGATAAATCCGCCCCTGACCCTTACATGCATAGGCCACATAATTATGAAATAATTTTTTTAAAAATTGTGTTTTCATTTACAAAATAATAAAAATACAATATTTAATATAAAATATTGATACAAATATATTTTTCAATTGTGTTAAATACTATATAGTTGCAACCATAATAATAATCACACCCTAAATAGAAATCTTGTATTACAGCATTTTATTATATTCATTATACTTTTTTTCTGTTCTGAAAAAGTAATAATAATAATAATTATTATTATTATTAATGTTATTTGAAAACATTTATGTGCTTAAAACCCCCTGCTCTTTATTCTCATGTGGAACAAAACAATCCTGCCTATCATCACATTTATATGACTAATATTAAATGTATATAAATATACATGCAATGTAAGGACATAATTAACAACCTAAAAATTTAATCACAAGATGTATTGACTCAGACATTCCTAAAAGTGTGCATACAAAGGCAAGAACTGAAATTCTGCTAACAAAAGATTGCAGAAAGTTAATAATAAAGCAAACGACTCCCTCTATCGGCGAGAAGCGCACGTGATGCAGAAGCAGACATTACGTCAACACAACAGCACAAAGCATGGTACTTCAGTAAGACAGTTTTATAGAGTTTCACCATTCAGTAGTTCAGTTTAATTGAAATATGGTAAAGTCTTGTCTACGATATATGTGTGTTTCATATGACAAGCACGGGCTTTACTAATGTTGCGCTGAGCATCACATATTGCACAAGAGTTACATCATAGCCTGATGGACGCAGGAGCTCTTGTGTTTCCTTGCTGTGACGATAGGAAATCATCGGAGAATAAAGCATGAGCATTGCTTTTAGATATGCTTCATGCATTCATATGTATTCATGTTCTTTTCGAGCTAGGAAATAAAACTACTATTAGTTGTTAATTTTCAATAACTAATGTACCCAAAATCATGAGGCTATTTATCACTAAAGCATGGGGGAAAAAAGAACACTGAGATGAGAACAGTCATATTGTGCTTAGTGATACTGTTATTGATTTTTTAGTTTTAGTCTTGTAATTTGAGTAAATGTGTAATTATAAACAATTTATTGTAGTATTATATAAAATATGTATACAATTTTCTACCAAGCAGAGGAATAATAATTTACAATCCAGCATAGTATTAATAGTATTAATAATAATGCTGATAATAATTATGATTATTCATTTTCTTTTTTCTTTTTGGCTTAGTCCCTTTATTCATCAGGTGTTGCCACAGCGGAATGAACCACCAACTTATCCAGCATGTTTTATGCAGCAGATGCCCTTCCAGCTGCAACCCGTCCCTGGGAAACATCCACATGAAAACATGGGAAAACATGCAAACTCCACACAGAAATGCGAGGCTCGAAACAGTGACGTTCTTTCTGTAAGGTGACAGCACTACCCACCGTGCCACCCCTATTATTATTATTATTATTATTATTATCATCTGTATGTAATATGTTATTCTAAATAGAATACATTTTTAGAACTAAAGCATTCAAATAATAATAAAAAATGACATAATACATGTTGCTATTTATTTTATTCATTTTCATAAGCAGCACTTTATTACTAAATTATATAAAATATTTGTACAGTTTTTTCTTGCCACAGCCAGGAATAAGGCATTATTTACAATACTACACTCTCATTACTAATAATGTTATTGTAAACTTAGTTCAGTACACTTTTCTTCACACATAAGATGTAATACTGCAAATACAGAATTTGAACAATTCTGCTGTCTTAAGTTAGTATTTACATTTTGTCAGTAAAAAAATGCTTATCTTTGCATCATATCATGTCATAAACACAACAGCTTGGCTTGAATTTCCTGTTAATGGGATAGTTCATCCAAATACAAAAATTCTGTCATCTTTTACTCACCCTTCACTTGTTCCAAACATGTTTTGTTCTGTTGAACACAAAATAAGATCATTTGAAGAATGTTGTAAACCTGTAACCATTGACTTTCATAGTATTTGTTTTACAGTCAATGGTTACAGGTGCACAACATTCTTCAGAATATCTTCCTTTATGTTTAACAGAAGTAAGAAACTCAAACAGGTTTGGAACAAGTCAAGTGTGAATAAATGATGACTGTGAACTATCCATAACCCACTATGGTTTCCTGATAAACCGAAGTCGAGTGAAGTCTACTGCAGGCTCTGATGTTCATCTGGACAGAGGCAGAGTCATGTCACTTTGGTCCAGGCTCTTCAAAAAATGCTAAAGACAGAAATGACAAAATTAGAGAATATTATCTACACTTTTTTCAACATTTGTAGAGTTTCAAATGATGGGATGCACTTCCGGTTTGGGGAACTCCCATGCAAAAGAGCTGAAACAAATCTGTGAAGTGTGATGTAAGACTTAACAAGCTGACCGTACAAAGATATTCAACATGTCCTTAGTATTGCTGCAAGTTTTTGGGGTTTTTCACGGTCTGCTGAGAGTAATTTGTAATTTCTAATAAATTGTCTTTTAAAAGAACAATCCACTTTTGTGAAAATATTCTCATTTTTTAAGTCTCTGAAAGTTAAATGGTTGAGTTTTACCATTTTTGAATGCATTCAGTCAATCTCCGGATCTGGGGTGTGTTTCCCAAACAACGAAATAACTCTGAGCTATCATAGCACGATGCATCGTTTGGGAGAAGAACGAGGTAGTGACGAGGATTCCCCAATCCAGTAGTTTCTCTGTCGCAGATCTATCGTTTGAACCACATTGGTTATAACCTAAATTGCCCATAAAGACGCCGTAAACGGGGTGGAGTAACAACTTCTTTAGAGAAAAACCCATTAACATCTTTGTTCAAAATATATTGTTTTACATGCACACACATTTAAGAAAAATCCAATATTAGTTTTGGTAAACACATGCACTTGCTTTCTATATTAACTGAAATGTATGTAAATGGCAAATATAGGGCCTGTGTTTCCTTTACAAATATTGTTGAGAATATGACATATTCTATTCTAAAACAAAACCATTTAGCTAGCACATATTCGAATCTCATATATAAATCATTAATAGTTGTAATTTACAGTAGGATATTTATTAAGAAATAAAGAAAAATCTAACTGACTAATAATAATAATTTTATTTTTTAGCATTATTAAGTAGTATCTTGTTTATTTATTTTATTTATTGTAAAAGTCTACTTTTACAATTTGACACATTCAAACCTGCAGAAATCTTCTAACTAACAGGTCCACACCACATACACTACAGATTTATTTCTTAATAAATAACCTACTAAATTAAAACCATTAACGAATGCTAAATATTTTTGTTTTCACAAGCTTTGGAGACGTAAAGTAAATTCTGCTTTCAAATAATAAATCAAAAGCTTTCATCATGAGCCACGGCTGCATTCAAAAGGACATCAATTTTTTCAAAATGCACTGCGAAGGGAGCACAATTGTCAATACGAAGATCACTAAAACTAAACTGTAAAAAATAGTTTGAAAGCAAATTACACCTAAGAGAGAGATGACTTTAATGCTTTTGTTTAAGTCCTTCCGAGTTTAAATGTTAGAACGTTTTAAATGAATAGGGCATAGGGGGGATAACTGGGAATAGAACACTACCAGAAACTATGCTTCCAACTACAGCTCTAGGGGTGTAGTTGCAATCATACATTTTGGAGGTGCAGTTTGTGAATGTTCATTGGAACGATGGATTTGGGAAACGCCAAATTCAATTAATCTTTATTTTTATAGTGCTTTTACAATGTAGACTGTGTCAAAGCAGTAGGTGAGGAAGAACTGTCTAAACTGATAAATTCATCCAAATCAACAACGTCTATGCTAGATCAGCTACCAATGTTTGTAAAGACGGAATTTGCAACGACAGGTCTGCATTCCCGCAGCTGTACCACGGGATCCGACCAGATGTCTGCGGCACGGGAATACATTTCAGAATAAAGT